TCACAAGGAATTCCAATCAACCAAATGTTTTATTGTGTTGCAGACAAGGCAAAGTGACATCCCTCGAATGCATCTTCAGAGGTTTTAAATATATACTATTGAAAACAAATACTTCAAAGGAACGTCACTTTATGGAACATATTCAAAGCTATAATGGGGTCTTATCATTAACTCTTAGTGGAGATAAAATGGACCGATCTATAAATGATTGACTCGAAGTATATGTTTATTCGACTGGAGGTCAAGTAAACCATCAAATCGATAGCCTGATATATATCTACTGGAAGGAACAAACAAAAATTTGCTCAACTCTACATCTGTGAAACCGGCGATAAATGCCCAAAATCTATTAATTTTTTTCTCCGCATATCCAGTTTCAAAGCCTTTCTGCAGTCAATTATTCAACAACTACAAGAGATGTTGGATTCAAGTAATATCTTAGTAAAGACATTATGATCTCCAAGGCATAGATTGAATGACACCATTGTTCAGCAAGTTGAAACTAAGTTGTTTGCTTAAAGAGAAGGGAATGATAGAGAATATGATTTAACATCTGTAAATGATGTCACTGCTTTCATTGTTGATGATACTGTGGAGCAAACATTTTTTCTGATATTGTTGTCCATCATCAAAGTCATAAAATAGAACAAATTAGTATATATAATTTAAGTTTAATGGCTTTGCAATATCTCATATTATTCCCACATGGTGAGGATGGATGACACCCATATATGTCATATTCTAGCTGTGAGGATGCGAATGGACTCAATGAGAAGAATGTGACCCAATGTGATTTTACAATTATAGACTGCAAACATGACTTGAAGAATCAAACTGATTTTTTTTTAACTCATTAAGAATCAAACTCATTGATATTTGTGCGAAAGGTCGTGCCAACAAATATGTTGTTAATTTCGAATAGGATTAAAGAGAATCAAACAAAGGTGTGACAACATTACTACCAAGGTTTTTAGATTCTTACTTGAGAGGCAATTGATATACCAGTTTGAGTGGAAAACGATATAAGTATGAAAGCTTCCAAAATGTTATGGCAATTTGTAGATGTAATCTTGATTGACTTGAGATTCAATACATACTTGATTTGATAAGGGCTACTACTAGGAAAGATCCTAATAGACCCGGTGTCCAGTGTCCTCGCAAGAGTTTTCAAATGAAGCAAAATCAATTATTGAAGGAGATTTTGGATAAGAATTTTTTTGGGAAAACATGTGCATGTAAGTTATATTTCACAGTTTTACTTTAAGCATCCTTAATTAATGATTTGTCTGGTGATTATTATTGATAATTTTTTTTCATTGGACATGCAATGGCAATTGAATTTAAAAAACACAGTCTACCTCGGGCTCAATTATTAGTTTTTCTAGCTGTAAAAGATAAATTATGATCCTCCAAAAATAGATTCAATTATATCTACTGAAAAATCATATCCAAAGCATATAATAAATGTTATCAAACATTTAGAAATTTTATGTTTCATTGACCATGTGGCACTCAAGGACCTATAACTTCATGTACAACTAATGGTACCAATGATGGGAAGAAAGAACAAATTCTGGAATTATTTGAAATTTGCACGAGGTAAATTCTACTCCAATGAAAAAGTTGATTTGTATTTGTAAATATTTTACCATAAATTTTAGTGCTCAATGAAATGCAGGAAAAATAAAGAAGAGATTAATGAAATGCAAGAGTAGAAGGAAAAGGCCATTGGTAATGTAAATAAATGTGTCATTAATGGAGATGATTATGGCACTATTATTGGTAGAGATCACTACAAGAAACTGCACCTTTTGCGACGAATTTTTTTGCGACGATATAAAATTCGTCGTAGAAAGTGAGCATTTGGCGACGAATTTGGCATTTTCGTCGCGAATTATGTTAATATTTTGTTGTAAGTTGGGTAAATGTTTTTGCGACGACCATTTCTTTTTCACGACGCTCTACTTCGTCGCGGAATGTTTAGAGACTTTCTGCGACGATTTTTGATCGTCGCAGAATGTTTAGAGACTTTCTGCGACGACTGTTTATCGTCGCAGCTTATTGAAAACTTTCGGCGATGATTGTATGTCGTCGCAGATTGTTTGGAGACTTTCAGGGACGATAAACAACCGTCGCAAAATGTTTAGAGACTTTTGGCGACGATATTTTGTCGTCGCAGAATGTTGAGACTTCGGCGACGGTTGTTTGTCGTCGCAGAATGTGTGAGACTTTCTGCGACGAATGTCTATCGTCGTAGATGAGACTTTCTGCAACGATTGTCTATCGTTGCAGAATGTTTGGGACTTTCTGCGACGATTATCGTCGCAAAATGTAATATATATATTATTCGGCGATTGTTTGTCGTCGTAGAATGTCTCGCGATATTTGCGTATTAAGAATATTCAATAATTTAATTATTTAAAAGTGGGAGACATAATATGCATGAATTAGTTTATGAATACCTAATGTACAAAACTATTTTAAAAAAACTTATTGCATTCAATATTTGTGATTTTATTAATATAAGAGGTAAATATATACGAATCACTAACTTAACCCAAAAATTGTGGAGCGCAGGTGGTTGTGTTGGTTCTCCCAATTAATGGTTGGTCTCGTGTTCGATGCTCAGTTTGAGCATTCCCTTTCTTTTTTTACGTTTTAAAGAATGAAGGGCACTTTTTGTAATTGCAAACACACAGCGGCAGTATATAACTAGAAACTCAAATCTGGAACACCAATCTCTCTCATTAAACCCTAGCCGCATCTTCCTTTCTTCCTCCTTGCCGCATCTTTTCCTTTCTCTTTTCTCCTCTCGGTCTATCTGTGAACGACGACCCACAGTAGAGAAAAAATCCTAGAATCTTCTTTCCATCGATTGTCCTCCTTTTTTTTTTGCTTGTGATCTCTACTTCTCCTCCATCCCTCGTTTTCTCTCCCATAGCTTCTTCCTCCGATATGGAAGAAACAGATCAGAAAAGCAACTATCCGGGGTAGGATTCGGCTTACATGCATGTTTTCCTTTTGGTTTTCTAGTTCAAAAATGGGATTCTGACAGTTTACTTTCTGGGTTTTGGTTTTTGACGAGGGTGGAAGAAAAGGGGGTCACGTGGTGGCCTCGGGTGTTGACGGAGGTGAAGGGATCGATCGCCAGACAAGTAGGAAGAGGAGATCTGGGTAGTAGAGAAGCGAAAGACAGGAAGAAACCAGATCTGGGTAGGTAGTCGATTTTTCGTATCCCTATTTCTACTCGGGCCGCGGGGAATCTGCTCTAGCCGCGCCAAGACAAACAGATCTGCTCTTCCGAGTAGAAAAGCGAATGAAAGGAAGAAACCAGATCTGACTTTGATTCTTTTTATTTCTCATGGGTTAATGCTTTTGTTTGATTTAATTTTGTTTGTCCTGCTTTGATTTGGTTTTTTGTTTTTCTAGAGAGTTCCCTTAGTTTTTATTGTATTTACAAAGTCAGCCCTTATTTTCTTTGCAGATTTGGCATTCTGACTTGCAAATCTGGGTTTTGGATGAGGAATGGCTAGTGTAGTTATTCTGGACGAAATATGGAACTTTGGAAAAAATTGTGACCTATTCTGAAATTATTCTAAAAATAAATTGTGACCTATCTTGAAATTTACCCGAAAATAAATTGTAAAAAAGTATAAAGGAAGCCTTCGTCGCTGGATCTTTACCCTTTCTGCGACGAAATGATCCGTTGCAAATTAACGTTTCTGCGACGAACTATCCGTTGCAAAATAAAAAAATTTTCTGCAACGAAACACTTGTCGTCGCCAAAGAATCAATTTGCGACGAAATGGTCGTCGCAAAATAGTCGACTTTTAGCGACGACTTTCTTTTTATTGCGACGAACCCAAAATATTCGTCGCAGAACTTTCTGCGACGCTGTATACGCGACGAACACTTTTTTCCTTCCGCGACGGAGAAATTCGTCGCTGAAGGTTTTTGCGACGGATTTTAGTTATTTTGCGACGAATTTTTTCCGTCGCAAAAAGTGAAGTTTCTTGTAGTGGATGATGATGATGGTGCTCATGGTAGAGGAAACAAGTCAAAATGAAAACGTGTAGTATTACTGCCATACGACTATATAAAAGGGTGATTTGAAAATGTCTTGAGGAGTCAATTCCCTTACATGGGGTTTGTCTTCCATTTTCGTAAAGAATTTTAGAATGAGTCATTAGAATGACAGAAAACTGTACCGTGTTGATCATTTTGAATTGTTAAAGTGTTTAATAATTTGGATCCTCTTATTCTACCAATCAATTTGAATGTTCTAAGTATTTAAATAATTTAGATTTTCTTATACTACCAAAGAAACATGTATCTTGCATGTACTATTGTTCTTTACGTGATTGGTGATCGAATCCGACCAACTGGCCGGGCCCTTGACTAGTCTATAACTATGCATTTGATCCTACACCCATATTCAGATATTCTCACGCGTGTGTACGGGACCAACTTCCATACATATATTATTGTCAAAATCTGCCAGCTAAACCTAGAAGACAAGAAGAACAGTCCAAATATGAAACCGAAATTTGTAAGAAATCTTAGTGTGATGTCAGATATGCTTTCACATTACACTCAAAGTCTGTAATTTATAAACTCTGCACCCCCAGAGCAAGTATGAAGGAATCTTTCCAACGTCTGGTCACTACATCGTCTAGTTGATAATTACGCAACACTTCCACACATTCCATGTTAATTTCTTCCAAAACTTTAGATATAAGAGAAGAATTGTTGAACACGATGAGTATGTCGCAACCAAACTATGCAAATATTACATCTATATCTATAACAAAACAAAACAAAAAAACTCTACTCTCCAGAATCGATTGTCTAGTACATTCGTTAAAACAACATAGTAGACAAGAAAAAAAAAAATAGAAGCAACAAGTTGTACAAAAGTATTTCCTGCAAATGAAAATTTTTACACAAGAACTACCATTACAATGTCGTTTCTAAACTTGCACTAGTTTATGAAAAGTCAGCTAACGGCCGCCGCACACAAGGGACTCTTCTGCAGAAGACAAATGAGTGAAAGACCCAGAAGAAGGAGAAGTTGATAAAGCAAGCCCCATGAGCCCTTCACGACGACCAAAATTCAAGCCAATGGATGAAAGGGAAAGTCCCATGGACGACATATCCGGTAGAGGCAATTCACCTTCCAGCATCTGCACCACCTGCTTCATGCTGGGCCGGGCTTCAGGGTCCGAATGAGAGCATAACAACCCAAGTTTCAACACCAAGTCCAATTCCTCCACCACAAACTCCGATCCGAAATTCGGATCCCTCGCCTCCACAATCTGCCCACTGACCCAATTGGCAAAAACCCAATCAACCAGTATCACCTCTCCAGCGGGCCTCGTTGGGTCGATGGGCCGCCTCCCACAGGCCACCTCCAGCAGGAAGGCCCCAAAAGCGTAGACATCGCTGCCCGGCGTGGCCTTCCCCGTTCGTGCATGATCCGGTGCAAGGTAGCCCGGAGTCCCAGCCACGTGGGTGGTTCGCGGGTCCGACCCATGATCATACAACCTAGCCAAACCAAAATCCCCCAACCTGCCGTTCCATTCGCTGTCTAGCAGCACGTTGCTGGCTTTCACATCTCTGTGAATCACGACTTGGTCACATCCCTGGTGTAGATAACATAGCCCTGAAGCCACGCCCTTTATCACCTTGAATCTCTGCCACCATTCTAGTACCAGTTTCGGTTGATCGTAGATGTACCTGTCCAAGCTGCTATTGGGCATGTAATCGTACACCAGAAGCAATTCCCCCTTGCGCCGACAATAACCCAGGAGACCAACCAAATTCCGGTGACTTAGCCGGCCGATGGTTACAATCTCCGCCACGAATGCCCTCATCCCTTGTTGGGTATCATGGGAGACCCTTTTCACGGCGATCTCGATCTTGGACTTGGGCAGCACCCCTCTGAAAACGACGCCGAATCCGCCCCGACCCAATTCCTCTTTCGCTCGAAACCCTTTGGTTGCCCTGTACAAATCCTTGAATTTGTACCTGTGAGGCCCGTAATCAACTTCCCAGTCTTCCAACACCTCCGCGAACTTCCTCTGCCTCTTGACCAAATAAACGACCCCCAGAATCACCGCCAGAGCCAGAGTGACGGAGATCACAGGAATCGCGATTGCCAAGGCCTTGGATTTCCCTTTCGGCCCAATCCTGGGAATCCTAGGAAGCGGAGAGATGGACAGAGATTCAGCTTGGCCCTTCAGTCTAAAGCTCCAACCCAATACATAATGATGAGTGAGGAACGAGCCAGTGGACGATGAGAAGCCGATGAACATCGTATCCTCCAAAATCTCCGACAGGTCTTTTCTCAATGACAGCAGGGATCTTGTTGGCTTGGCGGCGCTAATCGGAGCTAGAGTGACATCGATTCGGCTTTCTACTTGATCGTAGTCAATCCAAGCCTGCATCGGTTGACCGCTGATGAGCGTCAGATTCCGTAAGTTTCCGCCTGCGTCGTAGTACCCTGCCGGAGCTGCTAATAGTGAATCCAGACCGTTGATGTCGACGGCGACGTGATTGTTATTGATATCGCCGAACTCGCTGCTGTAGATTGTGTCGAGCTCCACGGCGAAGACGTGATTGGTGAGGTTGCCGTTGTTGGACTCGTTGAAAAGGCCGAGGTACTGGCTTGGGAGAGAATCAGGGAGGCCTCTGGTAGGGGAGATGACCAAGGCGATCCCGTGGCCGCCGAGATTGGCGTACTGCGGCATGATTGCGAAGACGAAGGTCGTGGAGAAGGATGAAACGGTGCCGTTTGACTTGAATTTGACTGGGTGAGGGTAAAAGGCCTGGCCTTTCTCCTGCATGCTGTCGTTGGTGAGCCGTAGGAGGCGGTCGGAATTGAACTCTGCTATTCCGGCGAGGATCAGGTTGTCGTTTGCCGCCGCGGCAGGGAAACGGTTGTATGTGAAGCTGAGATCGTTTGAGGCTGCCACGGTGATCAAAAGGGAAGCGATTAGGGAAGCGAGCATCAGGGAGATGGCCATGGATTCTCTCTTTTGGTTTGAAATTTCACGGAGACTGTATTAGAGTTCATGTAATGAAGGTCTTCGCTTCTCTTTTGTTGACTAGTTCCTCTTTCAGTTTTAGTTATTTATTTATGTATTTTATTTCGGATAAATAGAAGATTCCTTCAACTGTGCGGGATATAGTCGAGGTCAATGTCTTGGGGGTTTCGGCAGGATGTTAAAATTAAATCATTAAGGAAATGTCAATGGAATTCGAAATGAGTATACTACACTTAATGTACAGTGATGGAATGCTATTCAATATAAAAAAAGACAATTTGTTCATTTGGCTAAAACTTTACAAATATCTTGGTTTTGACCGTAATTATTCGCTTTGTTATGAGAAGTCTTTCTTTATATTGTAAATCTGCAGGCATATTAATCAATCAACCCGATATATAATAGAGATTTAAGTTTTTTTTCTCCTTCTATTGGAAAAATGATTCAAGAAGGGGTAAATTAGACTTTTCATAATTAAATTTAGAACTTAAAAATAAACAAATAAATCAATTTAGTAGAGGGTTTCACGTGTCATACTCTCTCTTCTTAATTTTTTTTTCATTTCCAAAGATAATAAAAGATTTAGGGTAATGTCTATTTTTTATCCAAACCTTTTTTGGATTCTTTTTTATAAACTAAACCTATCGAAATACTAAGAATTAGCCAAATGTTAACTTTCAGTTAGCAATTTTTTAGTAATATTAACTTGGGAACATGATACTGGCTCGAAAGAAACACATAAAGGTCAAAATTCCAAAATTATAGTAATTTAACTAAGAAAAGAGTTATTAAATTATTAACGATAAGGTAAAAATGGCTAATATACATTGCGAAAAATGGAAATTTGACCCTTTTAGCTTTTTAAATCCTATTATTGTGGATAGCCGGAGGGGTAATGTAAACTAATTTTGTATTTCATATTTTTCATTGTGGTGTTCTCAACCACTACAATTTTGGAGGGGGATTGCTAATTGTCGCCCTAGTTTTATATAATCGCCCTAAATTAAAACTTAAAATGACAAATTTATCCTTTTATTTTTTTATTGCCCCCAATCCTTTTCTCCCTCTTTCCTTCATCGAAAATCCGATTTTCAATAGGCGGAATGGAGGCGGAATGGAGCCCGGTAATGTGTAATCCATACTCTCCTCCAGCCCTCGCTCTCCTCACGGTAAATTAAACTCAATTCCCTTTGCATTCTCACCCGATTAATCATCCTTCGTCCACCCAATTAACACCAAAACTATCCAAGCTATGAACACCACTACTATATATGCATCACCTAGAAGAGTTCAATTCATTGATTTCATTTCGGACGACAAGCACTAAATGAAAAGGCAACACACAACCATGCATCCATCCCTTTCTTGGATGAGAGATCAGTTGAATTCAAACTTCCCAATGCCTTTATCTCCAACTAATTATTCGCCCATATATTTTGGAGAGAGACGACCGGGGAGAAGGAACGACGGCGAAGTGCAGTTGGAGAAGGACGCCAGTGAAGAGATTTTGAAGAGGCGGCGGCGGCGAGCGATGTTCGAGGGTTAGCAGTTGAAGAGTTGTTTCATTGAATTTAAATTGATTAAATAAATCATAAAAAATAAAATAACGAACAACTTAGTAATATTATTTATTTTTTGTTAGGGCGATAAACAAAACTAGGATGACGTTTAGCCATTCAGTTTTGGAGACTATTTTTCTAACACGGATATACGAAGGAATGGATTTAACACATTAAAAAACAGTGCAGGGTGAATACATTCATCTTTTTTTCCTTCATGTCAATGGAAAACAATCTATTTATTTTATCCTTACTTTTTTTTAATCATGGTTCTTTTTGGGTATGAATAACTCCTTCATCCCCTTAAATTTAATTTGATTTCAAGTCACATTCATTGAACTTTCTTCCAATATTTCTATGATGTCGAACTCTTAACTACTCCCTACGAATCTCAATAATAGAATGGGGCCAACCCAAACCCTCCTAAGCAAGAAACAAATTTTTTTTTTTTGGAAACTACTCATTATGGTTCAACTTTTTGATCATAAGGATGAAAATGACTCAACCTTTACAAAATACTAACTACGAGTAGAGATGACAACAAAACCCGAACCCACGGGTACCCACCCGATCCAACCCGGTCAACATGGGTAAAACCCGTGTTGACGGGTTTTGGGTCGGGTTGGGTTTGGGTTTAGGTAAACCCGCCCCATGGGTACCCGCCCACACACATATAATTATTTTTCCGGTATATTTAATATTCTAAATAATATATCTTCCTTAAACAACTAATATTCTATATGTTTGTGGAGACATGTATAATTTGTTCTTTCTAATTGTTTAAAATGAAGTTGATAATATGAAGTGGAGAGTGAAGAAACTTCGTTGACGAGGAAGAGGCTTTCAATTAATCTTATTGTTTATATATGTTTATCTTTAATTTCGAACAATTTGTATTTATCATTTGCGGTTTGTTTGTATGCTCTAGATTAGTGTTTTTTGTATGATTAATTTGTATAAGAAAATTGATGTTGAAACTTTTATTTTGAAAGAAACTTGTTATTGTAAATTTTTACCACAAAAACCCACGGGTACCCATGAACCCGCGGATACCCAGCTGGTTGGGTTGAGTTTGAGTTTTTCAAACCCAACGGGTTTTACCCCGATTTTTTTTGGCAGATAAACCCATGGATTTAGGTTTGACAAAACCCGCCCCAACCCGACCCATTGCCATCCCTATCTACGAGCCAAAAGTTTGATTACAAGGACGAATACTAATGTTTAAACAAATTAATAATTGACGATTTAGCATAGAAGTTAACATAACAACTTCACTAAATGCCTGGGCGATGATGTGCTTTTGCGAGCCATATACGATTTTCTTTTCTTTTTTAATTATGCAGGTGTCCACTATGTGCTTTCAATGGTTTGGAAGTTAATTTTTGGGTAATGTATAATTCTTATTCAATTTTTTTAAATTTTTTTATATTAATCAAATCTATTAAAATGCTATTAATTAGCCAAATCTTTCGTAATAGATAAAAATATTAGCCATTTTTACGTTGTCGTTAATAATTTTATAATTCTTTTCTAAGGTTAAATACTAAAATTTTAGAATATTGACCTTCATGTGTCTCCTCCAAGTTAGTATCATGTTGCCAAGTCAATATTACTAACAAAGAACACTTTTACTATGCTATATAGTATTAGTGCTTTAATGTACAACTTAAAGTTGTACCATAACATTAAATGTATAAGTTTAGGTTGTACCATAAAGCAATTTGTACCATTATGTTATGGTACAACTTTACAACTTGAAGTTGTACCATCACATAAAGGTGCAAGTTCAAGTTGTACCATAAAAGAATTTGTACAAAAAGTATAGGTATAATCTGAAGTTGTACCATAACGTAAATGTACAATTTTAAGTTGTACCATAAAGTCAAAACTCAATAGCACCAATACTATATAGCATTGTAAAATTTCTCTACTAACAAAATTGCTAACTGGAACTTAACATTTGACTCATTCTTAGTATTTCGATAGGTTTAGCTAATAAAAAAGAATCCGAAAAAGGTTAGGCTAATTGTTATAAACGCGCTGCTACGGATCGGGAAATCGCCGGAATCGACAAAGCAAGAATACGAGAGCGAGAATCGAAAGAACACAGACACACGATTTACGTGGTTCACTAACACGATGTGTGTTAGCTAGTCCACGGGCGAGAGAGAGCCAGTTTCACTATATCTGAGGAGATTACAGATTACAGAGGAGTATGAGAAGTATTTATAGTACTTCTCCATGTGGGTCTAAACCTAATCCAATCTAGCAAAGGAAACGGTTACAGACCAGGCCCAGAACCCGAACCCAAATAACATTGAGCCCATACACCGTGGGCCGGGGGTGTTGCCCCCGCACCCCCACCGGGGCGTTGCCCCTGGACCCCACTCGCTGACCGGGCAGCGAGACCCCCGGTTACCAGTCGTAGCGGCTGATAATCCGATTCAAGTCATATCAACAAATCTCCACCTTGACTTGAATCCTCTTCCTCTGAAATCTCTGATGTACTCTGCTCCTTCTCTCTCTCCCGCCATCAATGCCCCGTAGGGCGGAGTCACCCACTCAAGACATTCAGCAAGTCCAAGCAGTGTTGGAACTTGCCATGTGGAACCGGCTTCGTGAACATATCAGCAGGATTATCCGCGGTGCCAACCTTCTTCACCTTAATCCTCTTCTCTGTCCTCAAGAAATGATACCTCACGTCGATGTGCTTAGTCCTCTCATGGTGGACTTGATCCTTGGCCAAGCATATTGCACTCAAACTGTCGCAATACACCACTGCCTGATCATGATGTAGACCAAGATCACCAACCAGTCCCTTCAACCATATTCCCTCCTTGGCAGCTTCTGTCAACGCCATATACTCTGCCTCAGTAGTAGACAATGTCACCGCCGACTGCAAAGTTGCCTTCCAGCTCACTACAGAACTCCCAAGAGTGAATACATAACCGGTCATCGATCTCCTCGTGTCAACATCTCCAGCATAGTCCGAGTCAGAATACCCAGACACCAAGCACTCTGTATCACTTCCGAAGCTAATCCCCACATCAGGTGTACCCTTAAGGTACCGGAAGATCCTCTTCACAGCCTGCCAATGCTCCTTTCCAGGTTGTATCATAAACCTGCTGACAACACTAACAGCATGTGCAAGATCAGGTCTAGTGCATACCATAGCGTACATCAAGCTACCTACTGCACTAGCATATGGGACTCTCGACATGTACTCCTTCTCAGCCTCTGACTGCGGTGCATAAGCTGATGATAGATGAACATTTGAAGCACTAGGAGTATTTAAGGGCTTTGCTGAAGACATGCCAAACCTCGACAATATCTTCTGGATGTAGCTCTTCTGTGACAAGAAAAGCTTCTTCTTCGACCTGTCCCTGTAAATCTCCATACCAAGATCTTCTGAGCAGCTCC